AGATTATACAAGCTATTGTAAAAGATTAAATCAAAGGAATTAGTTGGGGAGGGGGTATCCCTTATTTCTAATTTGATTTTTCTTTCTTATTTTATTACTTTGAGGACTATCTAGACCTTTTCTCCTAAATTCCTGTTTAAAATAAAATGAGTATGGTCTTACTGAGATTCCAAGACAATGATTCGAAAGCTGAAGAGTCACTCACAGCTGCTGGGCAAGTTTTCCGATGAATACTGAAGAACAAACAGCTAGTTTCTTTGCCGAATGAAAAACCAAACTCCTCAGTGTGGCGTGGTCTTCAAGCTGGTTTCATAAACATGACCTGTTTTTCCCACCTTCTGTCTGTTGCTTTTCTTCTATAACGTGTGGGGTCTGGATTCAGAGAGTACAAGAATCTGTGTCTCAGGGCCACAAATCAGAAGCTCTGTTCGATTTCTGCCCTACAGCCCTGTTTCTTGATTGTATGCATTTACTTCAAATGTTCTCATTACAGATCTAGAGATAGGGGAGGGGAGCGTGTGGTCAGGATTCTTGTGCTTGTTGTTGTTACACATACTTTGTGCTCAAGAGTGGAGCCAACAGGCTGAGCACAGCATGTTCTTACTCAGTCACGATGGCTGAAAGTGGCTGGCTTGGGCCTCCAGCTTCCCGAGGAGACACCTTCCTGACTCACCCGGTTGTCTGGAGGGAAGAATGTCAGGAGAGGTCAGCGATGGCCCTTCAGTGACTCGACTCATGAATTTAGATGAGAGTAGGGGGAGGCAGTCTAGAGGACATGGCTGTGTCAGAGCACACCCAACCCTGCTCTCAGGCCTGAGAACACACATGTGAGTGGGAAACTGGCCCTGACCACTGTCAGATGTGTGCTGGCCTGTTTGGGGACCACACAAGCTTCAGTAGAGGGCATAGAAAGGTCATCCAACATAGGGTCCATTTGGCTGCCAGACATAAAACAAGCTTGGGTTAGTTACAAAGGAGAAAACTCAGGCTGCCAGGGAGCATAAGATCTTTCAAAACAGTGGGCTTTAGCCCTGTCTTTGAGAAGACATTTACCATTTCGTAGTGCTTTCAGTAGAAAACCTTTTCTCCACAGTGTAGGTTAATTATGATTTGATCCTGCCTATAGATGTTTTTCTTCCTTTTTATCATTTAAATTTTTAATAGTGCTATGAATTACTCATTTTCCATAAAGAACATTACTCTAATGATTATTAGATTTCAGAATTCAATCTGTCCGTGACAGCTGACTTTTGGCAGCCTGTGACACTCATACATTCCTTCTTACAATTCAGATGATTTATCTCTGGAATCCTTGGTTTGATTTCAGATTAGAATCAACTATTTTGCCTTGCATTCTCACAGGGTTCAATCTTGTAAGGGATTCAGGTGAGAGAAATAGTTTCAGAACCATGATTATAGTACTTGGAAAACAATCCACTCCAGTGACCCCGCGATCACTGTTTCACTGGCAGAATGAATTACCTTTCCCTCAGAATGTTTCTCCAACATAGATTGGCTCAGGTCCCTCATGACACAGATGCTCCTGCGATCCTTCTATCAAACCTAAACACAAACACCGATTAGACAAGTCCTGCTCCAAGATCTCAGTGGGCATTTTGCATTGCCTTCTAACCAATATATTGGCTCAAACTGTCTCATTGTTTCTCATCCAAAGTATAGGGCTGAACTCACTCTACACGATCTCACAGGAAAGTTGTGAAGGACACTAAACAGTATTTAAGAGGAATAAAACCTTCCGTGTGGATTTTTATTTAAAAGGTGAACAGTCTGGGACTGTGTGTATGTATTTCATGGTGTAATGAGCAGCATCACACTTCCTTTCTTTCCTCTAAAAGCCTGGAAGGGTAATACTTCAATTTAACAAAAATGTAAAAGTGGTGTCAATTCCAGATGAAATTTTGATTCATTATATGGACCAAATCATATGTTAACATTTTAAATTTTAATATCACATATATTTAATGAGATTCTTTTGTGTCTATTTTAGTAAATGATTTTCTAAGCTATGCTGAAGAATATAATAGAAGTAATTATCATTTCTTATTTTAATATGAATAAAGAAATTTTAATATTTGCATTTAATAGTTGATAAAATGTTGCCTGTTTTTAGAAGTCAATTGTAATTCATTCTTTAGCTTTAGGCTCTTTCAAGCTAATTGGAACAGAACTAATTAAATATAACTTAAACCAAAATGACGCTTTTGCCTAATAACTTTTTATTAGGTAAGGCTTGGGGTTATTTTCTTAGGATTTCACTTGTAACATGTGAAACACTGTTCCTAAAAACCTTGTTCTATATTGCAAAATATATGTTATCTTTCTTAAGGGGAACTATCTTTTCTGTAAATGATCGTCTCTCTGTAGCAGTTGTAAGCTACTTTCGGCATCCTCAACGCTCAGGTTGGAGTTAAAGCCCCATCAGACACATCTCCAGCATCTGGTGCTGCCATCTGGTGTTTCCTTTTAAAGCAATGTCTTCTGTGCTATCAAATAATATTATTGACAGATCTTCCTGCTTTGTGTTATCTCCAAATGTACTTGAGAAGGGGTCCTTATTAGATAAACTCCAGTTATTTAGCACTAGAGTTAAATGTTTGATTTAAAGCTATAAATGTTCTCTGGCTATTCTTTACAGGCAAAACTCACAATGGGGAGAGCATAATCAGAAAACCTCAGAAGGGCAGAATAGATATTCTCATATTTTCAAATTTTGCATGTGTGCATGTGTATCTCTTGGGTAAGAAGAATTTGAAGTTTAGGGGAAGGTGTGGAAGACAGGAAAGTTTTACTGAATACCTTTATGTCTTAGTCCATTTGTGCTGCTATAACAAAATACCAAAGGCTGGGTAATTTATAAAGAACAGAAATTTATATACCATGGTTCTGGAGGCTTGGAAGTCCAAAATCAAGGTACCAGCAGGACTTTTATGAACTTGTGAGGAAGGCTCTACTTCCAAGATGGTAATTAGTTGCTATATCCTCCAGAGCGGAGAAATGCTCTGTTGCCATGTGGTGGAAGGGATGGAGATTCAAGAAGGGTGCCCTGTCTTCTAACCCTGAGCCCTTTCATAAGGCTGTTAAGCCCATTCATGAAGGTGGTGCCCTCACAACTTAATCACCTCACAAAGGCCACACCTCTTAACATTGCTGCATTGGGAAGTAAGATCCACGATGAATTTTGGAGGGACACCACCATTAAAACCGCAGCACTTTATGTTAGCACTTTATATACATGATGTCATTTGAATCCTCATTATATTACTATAAGATAAAACATTATTTTCCCACTTCCCAGGTTGGGAGACATTGGTTAATCCACTTGCTCAAAGTCATACAGTGGGTTCGCAAGTAGCTGTCAGAGCCAGTCTATCTAATTCCAAAGATTCATATATTTTCATGTCACTATGAGAGGGGCATAGAAGTGTGTAAAAAACAGGTATTGCTACCCTGCCAAACTTTGAGTGTTAGACAGGACAAAGAGGACAGAATTTCATTCATTCACTAATACTTATTATTAGGCATTGGACTAAGCACTAAATATAGGGTCATAAAAATATAAACACAGTTTTTGACCTCATGGAGTTTTTAGTCCTATTGAGGAAATGATACAAAATTTTTTTAAAAACATACAATTTAAAATTGTGTTATGACAGTGTACAATGGTGGAAGACGGACATTCAGGATTTTGGTTAGAGAAAACCTGTGGGAGGAAGACATTTCAGCTAAGACATAAAAGGTGTGAAAGCACTAGCCAAGAAGAAATATGGGGAGAAAGAGAATGGTTAGAGAAAAAGACATTCAGATCAAGGGCAGCATGTATGAAGGTCCTGAGGAAAGGAAGATCTCATAATGAAATGAAAAAGCACGCATGTGGCCAGGGCCAAATGAGGAAGGAGACAGGCACACGGAGGAGGCTGAAGAGGTAGCATAGTTTCCTCCAGCTGCTCTGCGAACACAGGGACAATAGTTGTTTGGTTACTGCAGGAACCCAGGTGAGAGCTGGTGATGGCTTGGCCTGTCATGTTGGTAGCAGAGATCGAAATAAGGTACAGCGGGCAGGTCTTGGTGATAGCTGAGATGTGGAAAGGCAAGAGAGTCGAGGATGACTCCCAGATTCCTAGCTTGAGCAACTGCACCAGCAGTGCCATTTTCTAAGATG